GATACATAAATATGACTACTCACCTGCTTATAGATCCTGCGGCGGACCTCTTAGAGAACACACAAAAATATGAAAATTACTCTTTAGTTCTGTTAATATTTATTGTATCCGTAGCTGTTATAAAGTGATGTGTAAATGTTGCCGCAGAGTTTTTGGATGCGATTTGAAACCTCAACCCAACTAACTGTGATTCGTCTGAGAAAGAGCCATATCCCAGCCTATAGTTCTGTAACTGAGCACTGTAGTTCCCTATCTGCTAGCAGAAATTTGAAGCAGGACGTGACACTGGCGTCCCGTGCAGCGACATAGCTAAGAAACTTTGCAAAGAACAGTTGAACGGATTATTATGAATTTGGGCGGTTTAGTAAACACACACGGACAGCTAGTACGGGAAGGTCCCACACATACCCACGCGCGTGTCTGCGCGCATCTCGGGCCTAACTCGTTTAATATGTATTGAGGTGAAAACTGTTTCAAACAAAAGGCATAGAGAAAAGTCAAACCCACTTTCTGTTCAATAGAATTTTTCCGTAATTAGCACGGTGTTTGCGATACCGTACAAGCTCAAATAAAAGGCAACTCTGTGCATAAGACGATCCTCTATTTTTCCAATGAGAAAATAAGAAACAGCCTTTTCTTTTGATAAAATTGATTATGTAGTTTATTTCTGAGGGCAACAAACATGGTAAAGCTATCCCCATAAGAGGCTGTGGAGGCTCATAGCGTTGTGAGGCGTCTAGACTCTCACATTTTCTAGACAATCGGCTCACACATGACTGTGAGTTTGTCAGCCTTAAGTGTCGGCCGCCCTTTACCCCCAGAAAGATTTCTGGTACTAATTTCTTCTAGAGGATGAGTCGACAGCAGGGTTATAGTGCGGGTGAAAGTATTAGGTAAACTGAAAAGAAATCCAATTACTTCCTCGGGAATCGAACCCACGATCTTCCGGCTTATAGCATAGTGCCTCAACTATCTATGCTACCCCATACCCCCGAGTTCTAAGGGTTGTAAGAAAAAAGACAAAAAAAAAACGCAGTTCAGAAATTCAGTGATTTAAATGTAATTCTGGGTATTTTCACAAATATGATTACAATTAGCAACTAGAAATCCTCATAATAACCGCCTTTATGTTTATTCTAAAGGACCCGAAACTAAGGCGACCCCTCTCTTGTAAGAAACTAATACGTCAGTGAGACCGGAAGCAGCGAAAGTGGCTCCCAACTCTGTTGCTCTCTTCTCACGTGCCGCAAGTCTCTGTTTTAGTGACTCAATAGTTCTCATTAAGATCACTTCTCTATGGTGTTTAACGGTGTGACTGGCCGAGACGCTCGATTTTAGGGGAGGCGGAGACACGTTACAACCAACTGATCCTTGGCAGATGGCAGAAAGTTTCATAATGTGGCCGTGTGTAAGAGTTCAGTCCTTTGAAGTCGAAGAATGGAAACAAAAACGAGTAGAGAGGGGGTAAATAACAGGATTTTTTATTGCTAGTGGGGTGAGACTAAGCCCCTTGTACTGCGGCCACTTCTGGACTATTGTACCAGCCCCAGATGATAGGTGAGGGTGATTGTGGAGCAATTGGTGGAATGAAGATTGGCAGGGGAAACCGAAGTACTCGGAGAAAACCTGCCCCAGCGCCACTTTGTCCACCACAAATCCCACTTGACCAGACCCGGGATTGAACCCGGGCCGCCGCGGTGCAAAGCCAGCGACTAACCGCTTGAGCTATGACGCGGCCGGGTATGAACCTTGGTCTCTGACATTAAGGAAATAACATAGGAGTGTGTTTGGGAACAGGGTGCCAAGATGGATGAAATGGCAGGAGACTGGAGAAAACTGCATAACGAGGATCGTCATAACTTGTACTCTTCGCTAAATTTAATTAGAATGATCAGGCACAAGAGAGATGAGATGAGTAGAGCATGTAGCATGTATGGGGGTGAGGAGGAATGCATGTACGATTTTGGTGGGAAATCCAGAAGGAGAGACACCACTAAGAAGACACAGACGCAAGTGTGAGGATAATATTAAAATGGATCTTAGAGAAATGAGAGAGGGTGGTGTGGACTGGGTTCGCCTGGCTCGGCATAAGAACTAGTGGGTGGCTCTTGTGAACATGGTAATGAACCTTTGGGCTCCAAGAAATGTTTGGAAATTGTTGAGTAGCTGAGCGAATGGTGGCTTTCCAAGAGAGACTCAGTTCCATGGGTATAGTTAGTTAATTTAACAACGTCGCACTGTATAATGTAGCGTCGAACTATTGAATGATCAAATCATTTCCTGGAGGGGCTGAGGAGAACTAAGTGAAACCTAAGTCAGGATAATGGATATTGTTGCCGAGATTCGAACACAGAACATGTCGAATACAAGCCGGAAGTGTCATAGTATGAGGCAACTTGCTCAGTCTATTACTGTAGTTCTTACTATTGCTATTGCTATTTTAGCTTCGTCCTGTATAACCTGTACCCCCATAATTTGGTTGCTTTGTAGGCCTGGAGTCGCCTCCACTCGCCCGCACGTCTCAATGGCACGGTTATAAGTTGAGCACAGGAATAAAATTCATGTCGGTGCAAGAGGCGCACTAGAAATATTTCTCTATGTTTAGCTGAAATTAAGAAATGAAGCTGAAATGAAGTTCTAAGCAGCTACAGCAAATAGTCCTGTTTGCAGCGCAACAGACAGATACAGATATCTATCCCTGGCCCTACAGCCCTTTGTTGGACCTTGACAGCTTTCTTCAGTTTCTTAATCATATACACAGACCATAGGACTCCTTGGACGGGAGATCAGCCCGTCTCAAAGCCGCTACCTACACAGAGAACAACACAAAGACAGAATAAAAGCACACAGACATCAAGGAGTGGGATGCGAACCCACGATTCCAGCGTTCGAGCGAGGAAAAACAGTTCATGCCTTAGACCGCGCGGCCGCTGTGATCGGCTAATACAGAGATCTGTAGGCCTAACCGTTCTTACAGGTCTGCAGGTCGTGCGCAGCAACAAGAAACACAAGTTACATTTTCATGTGGGCCTTGCATGGCAGGTCATGTAGCACGAAAACGGAGAGAGTAAACAGACAAGAAGTTCTAAGATTGTACAAGCCCCCCCCCCGCCGATGGTGACGAAAGTAAGGAAGTTGTGATGGGCAGGCAATGTAGTATGCATGAGGCGGATAAAAATATTAATTTCGATTTGAGAAAGTAAGGGGTGAAGGAATCCACTAAGTGGATGAAATTAGTAGATATGAGGTTATATTCACCCTAAATCTGATATAATTTTGCTTCTATAAGCCGTAGTTGAGAGACATGCAGGTTACAGCTGTGTCCCGATGCTGTGTAATGGCGGGGTTTTGTGAACACTGTGTTGGAGCAAGAAATTTACTTTCTATAATATATTTGGGTAGGCTATTGGTTCTGCGTCCCTGCTTGTCAGTGTCCCTGTGCGGAGTGGCTGCTGGAAAGGAGAATGAACAACGCTCTGATTAGGAAATTAAGCTCCATTAGGGGCCGCGCCATAGCTCAAGCGGTTAGTCGCTGGCTTCCCACCGCGGCGGACCGGGCTGGATCCCGGGTATGATCAAGTGGGATTTGTGGTGGACAAAGTGGGGCTGGGGCGAGTTTTCTCCTAGTACTTCGTTTTCCCCTGCCAATCTTCAGTCCACCAAATTCTCCATCACCATAATCACCGGGGGCAGGTACAATAGGCCAATCAGTGGCCGCCGTGCCGAGTGGACCCAGTTGGACTCCACCCCCCACTGAATGAATTAAAAAAAAAAAAAAAGCTACATTAACTGAATAGAGGAACGTGTGGAATCCGGGCTGGAATTGGATCGGGAAATACCTGCAAACATTGCACCAGCAAACGAACACTGAGTAAAACGAGGCGGCCTGCAGGCCAATGTGATCACAAGTCATTTTCCAATTTGTCTGAATGGGGCCATTCATTTTATACCTGCTTTCTGTGCTCAAATGAAGGAAAACAGGAGTTTGGTTTAGCCTTACAGAGTTCCATAACCTTGAAGGTGACCACTCATGTCCATCTTAACGCTGTGATTCCCATTAGGCTTACAGTTTACTAAGTCCAAGTCCGCTTGTCCGGTGTTTCTTAGTGGATACGCCACTGATGTGTAAGTGAGAACACCAGACTCGGTTTGTATCTAAATATTTATGCATTTATTTACCCTGGTTAGTAACACCGAGAGCAAAAAGCAGCAATCGGTGCGCGACTTTTCAAGGTTTGATTTACAGGCAGCACGCTCTGCAGTTTGCTCACGGAACTACAAATCTTTGCGTTAAATTGAAATAAATCAGCCTTGGCATGCTGAAGAGATTCATCTCCCGCTAGGGGGCTCTGCTGGCGACCAACAAGCAACATGGCCTGCCCTGCATAAAAACAGCTGATTGTGAGCAGACTGTCACAAGCGGTGACGTCTCGGCAGGCGAATTTTACGATTTAGAGCGCCTACATATCAGGCTCGTCGGTTTGTTCCCGGAATATTACGTTGTGCGACCTTGACGCTCCTGAACGTTTTGCCGTGCGAGCTTCATGCTCCTGAACATTACATAGTTCGCGACTGACGCTCCTGAACCTTATGCCTCGCGAGCCATACGATCCTGAATGTTATACCGTTCGAGCCTGACGTACCTGAAATTATGTCGTGTGAGACTTACGATCCTGAACTTTACACCGTTCGAGCCTGACGCTCCTGAACGTTATGCCGTGCGAGCCTTACGATCCTGAATATTTTAGCGTTCGAGCCTGACGCTCCTGAACGTTATTTTGCACTAGCCTTACGATCCTGAACATTATAACCTTCTAGCCTTACGCTTCTGAACGTTATTCTGTGCGAGCCTTACGATCCTGAACATCATAACTTTCGAGCATAACGCTCCTGCATATTATGCCTAGAGAAATTGAAAGTTTTATTGTGCACGTAAAATGCTTGAATACTGAAAGGAAAGGAGAAATTTTGTCTTGGTCTTTGGGGCTCTATGTTAGTACCTGTGGTCCCTGAGGTGGTCCTGGCGCCGGAACGCCTTGCCGCAGATGTCGCACGAGTAGGGCCGCTCGTCCGTGTGCGTGCGCTCGTGGATCAGCAGGTTGTAGGACTTGGTGAACTGGCGGCTGCAGAACTTGCAGATGAACTGCTTCTTGGGGCGCGAAGCCGATGTGGACGCCCTCGTTTCAGACCTGGACACGGTCGCTGTGGATGTGACTGGCGTCGTGACGGATGTAGACGCTGCTTGTTGCTGTAACAATATGCTGCTCGCTGCTGCCGCCTGGTGGTGATACATGGCGTTCATGAGTAACGAAGGGTAGGCTGGAAACTGCTGTGGAGGCGCCTTGCTGGGGGCGGTGGGGGCCAGGTCCTCGTCATCGTCGTCCAGTACACCCAGCACATCGTCCCCTTCCACGGCGTCTAGGGACCCCGGAGAACTGGCTGGAGATGCTTTGTCGTCCGGCTTGGCGCTGGAGGACGTGGTCGCGATCCTAAGGACGTCAAGCGCCGGGCTGGAGACGGCGTTGGTCGTCGCGACGCTGGACGCCTGCAGTCTCTGCAGGGTGAGGTATGACTCCAGGGCCTGTAGGTTGAGCGCCGCGGCGGCCGCAGAGTTGGGTGGCAGGAGCGCCGCCTGCTGCAAGGAAGTCATCATGGCGTTCTGCAGGGACAGCGCCACGTTCTGCAGGGACCGCTGCAGGAGCTTATCCTTGTCGGTCCCGTCCGCACTTTGCATTGTGAGGGGCCGAGACACCTGCGCGGGCATGAGTCGGCTACCGCACGCAAACCGGGCTAGCAACACTCATCAGAAAGTCGGCCACAACGCGGAGATTGCGCGCGCGGTGCGATGCTCAACTGTTCTCGTTCTGCTGCCAGCACTTCGCTACCTGCCGGCCGTGACTACCAGCTCGGCCGCGCGACCGCTGCTGCCATCTGCCGGCCGGGCAGTAGCCGAGGTCGTTGGGTCGCGGGTTCGATTGCTGAATATGTTCACGCATAATCACAGTATTCTGCCTTGACGGAGATTCGAACCGTGATCGTGGCGCCTGGACGCAGACTGACTACAGAACCACAGGGAGACACTGTTGCTGAGTCATCCGAAAACGAGTCATGTCGCTGTCAGCATCACACGATAAACGACTCCACTCTTTTACGGTGTTGTGTCTCGCTTCGTTTCGTAAAGTTTGATTTTCGCTCTATGCTCAACGCACCAACCTGACCTGTGGTGTGGGAAGAGTGGCGCTGAGCCGCGGATGGCTCGCCCCATTCGTGTGCCTCCAGGCCTGTCGTGCGCACACTTTCCTATTAATTGGCACCACGTGACACGGAACAGCTGGTACTGCTGTACAGTCCGCGCAGTTCGAAGTGGTACCGTGAGAAAAGTGAAATCGGCTCGCCCTGGCTGTAGTGTCAACAATGCGACTCCTCTCCGCATTGTCTCTTTGTTTGCTTGTTTAACGACGCTTGTCAATCAGAGTGCTAACAAAGTGGTCGCAGATTTGTCCTGACGGTGATGAAGGTTGTGACAGAGTAGTCTTGTAAGTGGCAACCAGCGTTTCGGAGGAATACACTGCCTCTCTCTTAAAGGTAGAAGAGACATTGGTGTCCACTTACCAGACAACTGGTATGGGTAACATACGTAGATGACTGCAATAACTTCGCTCCTATTGGATTTGCAGCTCTCGTGGGGGCGACCATGAACAGGTCTATGTTCTGGGATATGAGCCGTGCAGACTGGTAGAAGCTTACCAACGTTTAGGAGAAACTTAATTCGTCCATCTTCAGAATGAAAGAGTAAGTCAAGCAAACAAAGAGCAAGGCACAAACAGATCTTGAACTAAATCTTTGCTTGGCTTTTTCTTGGACCCTGAAAACGGAAGCAGCATGTATTTGTTTTTAATTCGATAAAATTCTACCCTGTTACACGGCTTCGCGTCCAAGAAGATTGTACCCTTCCTACCATTTGTTTGAAAGAATTCCCTTAGCGTTCTTAGGATAACTTTGCCTCAACGAAGACTCAAATTCTCTTGTGTACATGCCTCATGTTACCTGGCATCGTGTATTCTGATGAATTGGGAGGGATGTGGAAGGAAACAGTCTTGGTCTGAGTTGATATACAGCGACATTTGCCTGTAGCAACTGAGGAAAATCATGAAAACCCCTAGGCCGGCTGGACTCCAGCCTAGATCTGAACCCGGGACATCCCGAACGTGAAGGGATGGATGTCCTGATGTACGATGAGGCAGGCTTGGCCTGTGGTTGAAGCGGTCGGTCGGACGGAGTGCGCTGTTACGGGTTGCCGGTGGAGACGGCCTCGTCAAACAGACGCGCGGGACCGCAAACAAGGGCTCTCAGAGGACAAGACAGTTGCCGATCGCTAACCACAAACAACGCCCTTCTCCAGTTTTATGTACCGTTCACGGAACTGTGTTTCCTGTGCAAAACAAGTCCAGTGTTTGCTTGTGAAACTCACACTGCTTTGTGGACGGATGTTTCCTTTGTCCCGTTATGTACACTGCACCGAGTAGAGACTGAGGAAAATCCCATCTGTTATGAAGGTGAGGGTCTGGCTCAGGACATAAATTTCTATCTGCTTACATATTCCATTGTAACCTGATGTTCGTGTAAATAATATTTCCAGAGTCTGTTCATGGCTCACAGGAAACACATTACATCCCCAACCTGTTATTGCTGTTTATTGTGAGGACGTACAAATACTCACTCTAAGCAGAATGCAGAGCTCTGTAATTGTAAATCTGATGAACTTAAGGTTTGTAGTTGGGGACCGCGCCATAGCTCAAGCGGTTAGTCGCTGGTTTCCCACCGCGGCGGCCCGGCTTCGATCCCGGTTCTGGTCAAGCGGGATTTGTGGTGGACAAAGTGGCACTGGGGCAGGTTTTCTCCGAGTACTTCGATTTCCCCTGCTAATCTTCATTCCACCAATTGAGCCACAATCACCCTCACCTATCATCTGGGGCTGGTACAATAGGCCAGAAGTGGCCGCAGTAAAAGGGACTTAGTCCCACCCCACTAGCAATAAAAAATAATAGGGTATGTAGTTACTGTTCTGTTTATAGGGTATTTTTTTTAGGATTTTTGGGATGGGGTGAGACTGAGTCCACTTGGTACGTCGGCAACTATTTGGCCTATTGTACCAGCTACGGATGACAGATGATGAGTGTGGAGCAGTCAGTGGAATGAGAATTGGTATGGTATACCGGAGAACTGATCTGGGATCGAACCCGGGCAGCCGCCGTGGGAAGTCGGCAACTAACAGCTTTTTAGGGTAAATTTAAACGTAAAGTTAATTACTTAAGCACAACTTCATGAAGGCGTATGAAGGAGTGAAGGTTTATGCTATACGTGATCTTAGCTTCGACACTAAATGGAGATGAGTAGTCGTCTTCAAGATCCGTCCGTTTACACCCGGTACTCATTGGTTTTGTGGCTGTGAGAACCCCAGAGAGAAGAGAAAATATATTAGTTAATTAATTACCTGGCATGCGCTGTCTTCGCTCGCTCGGAAGCCGGGATCGTGGGTTCGAATCCCACTCAGGGCATGGATGTTTGTGTGCGTTTTTCTGTGTTTGTGTACAGGTAGAGGCCTTGCGACGAGCTGATCACTCGCCCAAGGAGTCCTACCGTATGTGTAAGATCTAGAAAAACCGAGGGGAACGGAGTTCATGGAGGTAGGCCTAGGCCCACTGGGGCTGTAGTGCCAAGGGGAAAAAAAATTACCTATAGGTACTTTAATGTGAACAGATATTTCATTGTATCAGATCCGACCTAATTACCATCGTACTAATTTAACTGCGTTTACAGCTTACTCTAAACCCATTAGTCTCTGTGTATGTCTCACCTGATAATGACCAGCTCTGTTCAGAACATATAGTGACGTAATATATGAACAAATGGCTTTAAAATTAAAATTCATGTCGTAGTGAGAACTTCTAATCATCAACGGCTGTGTCACATTTTAAGCTACTATCTCGAAATCTACCTGTTGGATCCGAGGAAACCCCACAAAACGAATCAATAAGAATTGTTGGTGTTGCAGCCGAGATTGGAACTAAGGACCTATCGAATGCAAGTCTGGAGATCACCGCTTCCGCTAACTTGCTCGACGTGTTGCCTCGACTTTCGGCCACACTGAGAGACAAAAATAAAAAAAATCCCTTTTTAAACCCACTGTGAATTGGAAACGCATTAGATAAATATTAAGGCATACCTGCTCTTAAGAGTATTGCAGATAACTTGTGTGTATTGAATTGTTTCATGATGTAATGATGCCATATAAACTTCATGCGCTAACCAGGGAAGCTCCAGTCCTGAGGGAACCAAGGGACAGCTTGGGTTGTAGCGCTAACCCCTCGCTTTCACTCTGATTGGGATGCAGAGGGCGTGAAAGCGTGGAGCCTTCTTCCTATAAGACTCGATGTTGTGATGCTTATATATTGGGCCTGTACTAGGTAACGCTATAGACTCGCATTCGGGATATTCTCCATTAGGATCTCGACATGAACGCCGGTTATCTTGACTGAGGTTTTTCGTGGTGTTCTTTAGTCCCTCCAGCAAATGCCTGAATACGAGCTCCGTCAGCCACCAAATATTACCTTGCAACTTCTTCCCGTTTCGTCAGCCATCTGACCGATCGAGTCACAGAGTCTGGTTGCCGAGAGCGCAGAAGAGGACGCGATTCAGTAGAGGTGGTCTGTTCGAAGGAAGAACTTGGTAAAACCACGAAATATTAGGGTAGTCAGTGATTGGGCCCATATCAGACCATGTAGGTACTGCTTGAACCTTCGTGTATAGTTCATGTCTATTTATACGGACGACAGGATTTCGAATTCCGGAAGAGATGTGTTTTTTTTTTATTTCGGTGACAGTGTCCGAGGTGAAGTCGGCCGGAACCAGACGAGATACGCAATGAAATCCGATGCTGTAGCTTGCAGCCCCAGCGAGCGGGTCGCACCGTTAAGATGAACTATAACCTTTCAGACGAAGTGTAGCCACAAACCGACCAGTCACTCCCACATCAGCACTCCGGATAGCTACACCCTGCCCCGCAACGTGAGGCATCACCGAAATCAGTCTGCACAGACCGGTCCCTCTTGGGACGTCAGGCCTCGAGGAATATCCGAAGGTTCATTAGAATGCTCGCAAAAACCCAGCCACATGAACTCATTGCATTCCCTCCAATCCTGTTTCTATAAGACGGATTTTATGTATTACTATAGCTCCGTCTACACCTTGGTCTTTGTAGTTGGTTCTTTATTTCAGGAATCCTATGAAACTTTTGTTTGTACTTCTGACCCTGTACTGTGAAAATTTGCCACTCACTCTGATGGAATAAAAGTAACTCCTTACTGAGAAGCTAAGTTCATCCAGAAATTTTATTGATTTTATGGAAACTGAAGGTTCATTACCGTGTTGACAAAAGCCAGATGAATCAAACCGAAATTCTCTATCCATTCCATGAATTAATTCTCTCTTCCATCTACGACTAGGTCTCCCAAATCTTCTCCTTCCTTCAGGCTTATGCACTTCGCCTATAACAGTGTGACCCTTGCGCATTTCTCTGCACCTGGTATAGATCTCACCGGGAGCCGAACCCAGGACCTCCTGCGCTCTTGTCAGAGACAATGAAACACTGCTGTCCCTGCTGCGCTGAAATGAGACGCAGCTTGCGACCCGCGACCCGCTGCCGGGTCTAATCGTCCTCTCGGCAGGGAGTTCAGGGGTGGCACAAGGTGCTGCAGAATAACTTATTCTTAGAAGAAAGCGAGATGCGAGATGCATTAAATAGAGGTGATATCTTATAAGGAAACATATTGTGCTGCCATAATATCTGCACCGTATGGAAAAGCAATTTATGTCGAA